TCTCCAACCCCAATTGAACAACTTGCAAAAGTTTTATGACACATCTAAAATATATATTAATATAGAGAAAACTAAAATTATGTTTTTTTTAACAGTAGTGGAAAAAGAATGAGTAATGAACTTTAATTTCTATATCAATAATGAAAAACTTGAAAATGTACAAAGATACAAAGAACTTGGAATAATCTTTATCTATATGCCGAACCGTTTAATAACGCAAGAGAAGAATTATAAAAGATAGCTTCTAAACGGGTTCCTTATAGACAATAGCTAGAAAGCTTGAATTACGACAAATTATCTAAAATACATCAATGTATTTTGCTACTTTAGAAATTGAAATAATATACTTTTATATTTTTTGATTATCTGAAAAAAACACCTATGTACTTCTAGTATACAGTGCCAAATAGTTTATTGTTGTTGTTGTCGTTGTCGCAAGGAGCTCATAATGGGGTTGAAACATATAACAACCATGCAATTTTTTTTCTTGACAAATATTTTTTCCAGTAAATCTCATCCTCCAGCTTTGAAAATCCCCAAACTAAAACGAAGACAGACATATATCCCAAATTTTCGAGATATTTAATTTTCAGATACTTTCTCTGAAAATTATATTAGTGATATACTTGCCGGTATAAGTAGAATCGTCTATCAATTAAATCAGCATCCGATGACAGATATTCTTGGTGGAGATATTACACAGTGGGGAAGGGGCTACATCGGTTCAGTCTAGGTCAAGGCGATAGCATTTGAGTGTATACTTTGAATTTCAAAGTAGCGGATTCCGGATTCCATTATAAACTGGATTCCGGATTCCAAGGCCTGGATTCCGGATTCCAAGGCCTGGATTCCGGATTCCAGAGTGCTGGATTCCGGATTTCAAAGCCTAAAATTTCGTGGATTCCAATTCCGGATTCCGGATTCCCCTACAGGGGGCGAAAATCCATAAATAAGCTCACCCCGGCGTATTTGAATGTATTGTTCCTCCAAAATATAACTAAATATGAGTTACGTAATCATGAAGGCAAAGTAGCCCTACCCGCACCGCGCACTAATTACCTAAAACGATCTTTCAGCTATAGTGGTGCCGACTTATGGAATAGGTTACCCCAAGAAGTAAGAAACGCTGGTTCATTAGCTGAATTTAAGAGCAAACTGATCCACGTTTCATTATAATTCTTCGGATTTGCACACGGCAATCTTGCAAAACAGTAACTTTATTTATTTGACTGCTGATTTTCCGTGTTTAAAGACCCATTGCCACTTACCGTGATGCATCACAATTTGTTTACATTTTGAATCGTGTCACCACTGAAAAAAAAATTCTAACCTTTTGAATAAACTCTTAGATAGTCTCTAAAGCCCTAAAAGAATGTAAACGAATCATTTTTGTGCCTTAGTGCTATGTCGGAAAAGGATTTAATGTGAAGTTGTTATTCAATATATGAATCTTTGAATTTGATGGACCACGAAATTCATCTGTGACCGCGGTGCATCACGGTAAGTGACAATGGGTCTTTAACTAAAGTTATTCGTTCATATATTCATTATTCTGTCACTGCTTCATATTACTATTTTGTTCTTTCTTCTTCCATTTTGTTCTTCTCTATCCTATCCTATTCAATCTTGCCTTCTCCTATCCATTCCTTCTCCTATCCCTTCCCATAGCTTCCCATCCCATACCTTCCCATCCCATACCTTCCCATCCCATATACCTTCCCATCCCATATACCTTCCCATTCCATACCTTCCCATCCCGTACCTTCACATCCCATACCTTCCCATCCCATACCTTCCCATCCCATACCTTCCCATCCCATACCTTCCCATCCCATACCTTCCCATCCCATACCTTCCCATCC